GTAAAAAATTGAGGGGGGGGGGGAGGGGGGATAGAGGAACATAACGAGGATTATCGTCTATATTATTAATTAATTTTATTAATTCCGATGACTATGTTGGGTCCCATGATCACACAAATTTCTTTCTCGATTGAGTTTTACTTTGATTTCCTATGCACGATAATTCTACATCAAAGAGGCTTGATGTTGAAGTAGGCAAGATCTCCTTGTAAAGTAAAAGGATGTATCTCTTACACTAGTGAACCATTACAACTGGCCTATTTTTGTCTCCAATGTTGGCTGAATTAAACTTCTGTATATTTTCCATTAGCGGACAAACATGTTGGAAAATGTCTGGAAATGTCAATGATGTCAGCACACGTTTCTTTATCCCCCTTCTACATGTCAACCTACACATTTTGATGTGTTGACTGATTGGTGAATATTAACCTATCAAGTGAAACTTCAATCCTTTATTATTTATGACACTGATGTGGGCTCTACACTATGCCTTGAAAATTAAAATACAATACTATCTAGGATGACATCTAGATAGAGGAGTTGAAGAGGTCAGGGGATTATGGAATAACCTTCTTTGGGCAGTTTGTCCATGGCACTAGGTACGGATGATGTGCTAGTGTTTCTATTGGTGCCGGGTATTAGGCTGTCGTATCATTCTCCTTTGGGTGCTTGCAGCATCTATGTGGATTGTAACCATTAAATTTGTGAAGCATATTGTTTTGGATAAATTATATTCTTTTAGTCTTCTATGCTGATGATATTTACTGTCTAAATGAAAGTAAAGTTTGTGGATGGTCTAGTAGATACATATTTTGTGTCATATTTATCATACTTCTACTAATTATAGCTTGAGTGTAACATTCTAATTTGCAATTGCAGTGTTGCTAGATATCAAGAAGCAAATCCTGCAGTTTACACTGTTATTACATTTCCATTCCTATTCGCAGTGATGTTTGGGGATTGGGGTCATGGAATATGCTTGTTGCTTGGAGCTTTATTTCTCATAGCTCGTGAAAGTAAGCTCAATAATCAGGTATAAAACATTTTTCTTCAAGATTATAATCATGCTTTGGATTTCTACGAATGGTTAGAAGAATAATATTCATTTCTTTGGTTATTCAATAACCTTTTGGGATGACAATGGTTTGAATTTAATGATTACGTAATAATTATCTGAGAGCTGTTCGACTTAATAGGTGCTTAATTTCTGAAACGTTATTAGATGGTTTCAACAATCTACCTTGTTCTGAATAAATAACAATCGTATTTGGACTACCTGTTTTGTAACTAGGTAGTCTATGTGTGGTCACATTACCTAATTTGCATATCTAATTGTTATCAGAAATTAGGAAGCTTTATGGAGATGCTATTTGGTGGGCGCTATGTACTTCTTTTGATGTCACTATTTTCAATTTATTGTGGGTTGATCTACAATGAATTCTTCTCTGTTCCGTATCATATATTCGGTGGGTCTGCTTACAAGTGTCGAGATAATTCATGCAGGTGATTCTTTGTTGCCATTTATAACTTTTTAAGGTTAAATAATCAATCTAGTTTCAGTTTTACTGCTGATCGTTAATTGTTTGTTTACAATTTGATGATTTTATTTTATTTTTGGTCATTGGCAGTGATGCTCACACTGTTGGGTTAGTTAAATACCGTGATCCTTATCCATTTGGAGTTGACCCGAGTTGGCGTGGAAGTCGTTCAGAACTTCCTTTTCTGAACTCTCTTAAAATGAAGATGTCTATCTTGTTGGGTATTGCCCAAATGAACTTAGGAATCATATTGAGTTATTTTAATGCACGTTTTACTGGAAGCTCAATTGATATCAGGTCTCTACTTTCTTCTCAGTTTATCACGTTTGTCCTTCCTTTCAAATGAACTTCTGTCACACTTTAAGTGGGGAAGCAGGCTAAAAGAAACTCTCTCTATATTATATTATCAGGCACCAGTTTGTACCACAAGTGATCTTTCTTAACAGCCTTTTTGGATATCTTTCTCTTCTCATTATCATAAAGTGGTGCACTGGATCTCAAGCAGACCTCTATCATGTGATGATTTACATGTTTTTAAGCCCATTTGAAGATCTCGGTGAGAATGAATTGTTTTGGGGCCAAAGACCTCTTCAAGTATGATGTTCTCTAACTCTGTTCTCTATTGTTGCTGACCATGTAAACTCAATGTTCTGTCTTGACATCTATAATGCTCAATATTGCAGATTCTCTTGTTGATGTTGGCTATAATTGCAGTGCCTTGGATGCTCTTTCCTAAACCTTTTATTTTGAAAAAGATTCACACAGAGGTATGCTGGATCTAACAGCTTATAATTCTCTCCCGTGGTATTATAGGCAACCTCTTTGAATTGTTTTAAAATGTTGTCTTCTGATTAGTCAAACTGGTATTTGCTTCTTTTTAAGTTGGATTTTTTGCTAGTTATGTAACTTGAGATATGTTTTGTACGAGTATGAGCTTTGGACAATTTTGATACTTCTGTCTCCCTTACCTAATAATACATTCCAGAGATTTCAAGGTCGTACTTATGGGATACTTGGAACCTCCGAGATAGATCTTGAGGCAGAACCTGATTCGGCTAGGCCACACCAAGATGACTTCAATTTTAGTGAGATATTTGTTCACCAAATGATTCACTCCATAGAATTCGTCTTGGGTGCAGTTTCAAATACAGCATCGTATCTCCGACTTTGGGCTTTAAGGTACTCTGATGATGTTGCCATTTCTTGGGAACCTCCATCCATCTCATAAATACATAAACTATAACTGTATAGCTAAGCGTCATCACAAAAAAAAAATAATAATAATAAAAAAAAAATTTAAAAACCTATATACCTGATTCTTGTAATTGTTGCTTTGTACAGCTTGGCGCACTCAGAATTGTCAACTGTTTTCTATGAGAAAGTACTCCTCCTAGCTTGGGGGTGAGTTTAAGATTTCCTTCTCTTTTGCCATTATTATACTGATTACTAACCTCTTCCAACATGCATATTAGAGGAAATACAAAGATCTTGAACTCTAAAAGACGTAGCAATATAATTATCTTCTCTTAAGCATACATACATACTGGTTTGTTAAAATTCTCTAGGAAGGGGCATAGTTAATGAAAAATGAAACAGTTTCTTCTATTTTGAGTTTAAGGACCCATTTGATAACCATTTAGTTTTTGGTTTTCAGTTCTTAAAAATTAAGCTTAAAAACTTACTAATAAAGTTGTACAGAACAAGCACAATTTTAAAAAAGTAGAAAATTAAAAACGAAATAGTTATCCAACATACCTGAATTTATTGAATGTCAGCCATCATGTACTAGTACTGATATTGTTCTGGGTATAGGTATGACAGCTTTGTCATCCGGCTGATTGGTTTAGCTGTTTTTTCCTTTGCCACTGCTTTCATACTACTTATGATGGAGACCCTTAGTGCCTTCCTTCATGCCCTGCGTCTTCATTGGGTTGAGTTTCAAAATAAGTTCTACCATGGTGATGGCCACAAGTTCAGACCTTTTTCCTTTGCCTCCATTGATGAGGATGAAGATTAAGCCACTCTCTGCAGTTCTTCGAAAAAGGCAATAGCTGGAACGAGGCCGAGCGAGTGAGGGACCTAAAGAACTAACATTTATAGAAAAAACCATTTTGTTTGGCAGAGTACTTAGTGATACTTTGATCTGACAGTA